ACATGATTAAAAGTTAAAATGATTGTCACCCTATTTATAAGCTAAAACTAGGGTTACTAGAATAAGATAAAATACTAAAATACCCTCTAACAAACTTAGGGATTAAGGAAAATAGTACAACTAAATAAATATGAATTACTATTAATATTCTAATACCATCCCTTAATTCATATTCCATCAAAACTTGTAACACCAATTCCATCCCTTAGCCTGAGAAATTGATCAGTCTTGATAGCTTTCGTCAGAACATCTGCCAACTGCTTCTGAGTGCTGCAGTGTACAACTTCTAACACTCCACTTTGAACTTGATGTCTCAGAAAATGATACTTGGTCTCAATATGCTTGCTTCTCCCATGCAACACTGGGTTTCTGGCAAGATTGATTGCAGACTTGTTGTCAATCATCAACTTCAGAGGTTTGTCTACTTTAATCTTCAGATCCTTCAACAGATTCAGAATCCATACAGCTTGGCATGCAGTAACATCACCTGCAATGTATTCAGCTTCACAGGTTGACAACGCCACAACAGGTTGTTTCTTGGAACACAAAGAAATGGAACCTCCCAGAAATTTGAACAAGTACCCAGATGTACTTCTTCTGTCAACTCTGTCTCCACACCAATCAGAGTCTGAATAACTCAGAAGTTCTGACTCATTATTTCCTCCAGAGGGAAATAACACTCCATACTTCAGAGTTCCTTTGATATACCTCAGAATCCTGACAGCAGCTTGGTAATTGGACCACTTAGGTTTACTCATGAACCTACTAACCATCCCAACTGAGTAGCAAATATCAGGTCTGGTATTGCACAGATACCTCAGAGAACCAACCAACTGTTTGAAGGTTGTAGCGTCCACATCCTTTCCTTCAGAGTCTGAATCCAGTTTCTGATTTGTATCAGAAGGTGTGACAGCCATCTTACAATTCTTCAGATCAAATCTCTTCAGAAGTTCTAATTCATACTTGAGCTGATGCAAAATGATACCTTTCTCAGAATATCTGAACTCCATCCCTAGAAAGTATGTCATTTTGCCTAGATCAGTCATTTCAAATTCATTCATTAGAACCTTCTTGAACTTGGCTATCTCCTATTCAGAACTTCCAGTCAGCAGTATATCATCAACATATAAACATACCAGAGTCATATTGCCTTCAGAAGTATGCTGAACATAGACACCGTACTCCATCTCACATTTCTGAAAGCCTTGCTTCTTGAAAAATGAATCAATCTTCTGATTCCAAGCTCTGGGCGCTTGTTTCAATCCATATAGAGCTTTGTATAATCTGTACACCATCCCTTCCTGATTCTTTTTCACAAATCCAGGAGGTTGTGACACGTAAACTTCTTCTTCTAATGGACCGTTCAGAAATGCAGATTTCACATCTAAATGCATCAGAGGCCAATTCCTGTTAGCAGCTATTGCAATCACCATTCTGATTGTTTCATGTCTTGCTACAGGTGCAAACACTTCAGAGTAATCCAGCCCAGGTTTTTGTAGAAATCCTCTGGCTACCAACCTTGCTTTATGTTTGCCAATTGAGCCATCTGGCTTTAACTTCTGCTTGAAAACCCATATGACGCTGATGGCTTTCTTGTCTTTTGGAAGTTCTGTCAGCTTCCAAGTCTTGTTTCTCTCTATAGCATCAAGTTCTTCTTTCATGGCCTTCAGCCAGAGCTTCTGTTTAAGAGCCTCCTCTGTACTTATAGGTTCAGAGTCTACTAACATGGCACACTGAATAACTTCTCCTTCAGAGTCTACTTTAGTGTCTTGCAGCATGTCAAATTCTGCAAATCTTCTGGGAACGCTTCTGATTCTTTGTGGTCTCTGAACTTGTTCAGAGTCTTGAGCTTCAGAGTTTCCAGCTTCAGATGGTTGACTTCCTCTAGAGCTTTGACCATCTTCAAGATCTGGCATATTTTCAGAGTCTTGGCCATCTTCAGAGTCTGAATTTCCACCAGAATCTGGATTACCATCAGAGTCTGGATCATCAGAGTCACCTTCATCTTCTGAGTCTTCTCCAGAGTCAAAATCACTATCAGAGTCAGAATCAACGTCAGAGTTTACTTCAACTTCAGAAATTCTTAACTCTGACCTTTCTTCAGAAGTACTAACATCAGAATCAGATTGAGACTTATCCCAATTCCAAACTTCTGATTCCTTCACAATCACATCTCTGCTGAATTCAATTTTGTTGGTTTCTGGATAATAGAGCTTGTATGCACCTGTACTGTGGTACCCTATCAGAATCATCACTTTGCTTCTATCATCCAGCTTCTGTCGTCTGACTTCTGAAACATGTTTATAGCAAACAGAACCAAACACCTTCAGATGATTAACACTTTGCTTGTCTCCAGTCCACTTCTGCATAGGAACTATTTCCTTCAACTTCTTCGTAGGACATCTATTGAGTATATACGTTGCAGTGGCAACAACTTCTCCCCAGAGCTTCTGAGGAAGCTTCTTCTCCTTTAGCATGCTTCTCACCATATCAAGCAAAGTACGATTTCTTCTTTCAACAAGACCATTGTGTTGAGGGGTATAAGGAGCAGTAACCTCATGCTCAATTCTATTCTCCTCACAGAACTTCTGGAACTCTTTGGAGTTATACTCACCTCCACCATCAGTTCTAAGAATCTTCAACTTCTGACCACTCTGATTCTCAGCCTTCATTCTGAACTTCTTGAATTCATCAAACACCTCGTGTTTGAACTTAATAAGGGATACCCATGTCATTCTTGTGAATTCATCAACAAATAACACAAAGTATATATTCCCTCCAATTGATGCTACTGGAAATGGACCACACACATCAGAATGTACAACTCCTAAGGCATGTTTTGCTCTTGGAGCAACTTCTGACGCAAATGGCAAACGTGGTTGTTTTCCTTCCATGCAAACTTTGCATGACTTCTCAGGCTTCTTAATTGCAGGAATTCCATGTACCAGCTTCTTTAAATTCAGATGTTTTAGGCTTCTGAAATTCAAATGACCAAATCTTCTGTGCCACAGCTCACTCTCCTTCTCAGCACATGTTGCACTAAGACATTCTGAGTCTGCAGTTCTGACATTCACCTTGAATGTTCTATTCCTTCCCTGTTCTGACTCCATAATCAACTTCTGATTGCAGTCATACAGCTTCAGAAGATTATCCTTCATGGTAACTGAAAAACCTTTCTCAATTAATTGTCCCACACTCATCAGATTGCTTCTGATGCCAGGTACATACCACACGTTCTGAATCAATGATGTTTTCCCATTGTTCAGAGTCACTCTGACATTTCCCATACCTTCTGCATTAAGATATTTGTCATCAGCACATCTGATCTTTGTCCTCTTTTCAGAGTCAAAGTCAATCAGTCATTTCTTGTTTCCAGTAAGATGATTTGAACAGCCAGTGTCCATATACCACCAGTCTATCAGATCCATATTATCAGATTCAGAAGCCATCAATAACACAGATTCGTCATCAGAACTTCTGGCTATATTTGCTTCTTCTGATTTTCTCTCCTTGTTTGACCAACAATCTCTAGCAAAGTGACCAAACTTCTTACAACAGTAACATTGGATCTTCTTCTTGTCATACTTCTCTTTTCCCTTCTGAACATTCTTTTTTCTATCAGAGGTTGAGCTTTCTGACTTCTGACCACCATCAGATCTTCTCTTGGCTTCTGACTGCTTCTGATACCTCCTATCAGAAGTTGCTTTCAGAGCCTGCTGCTCTACTTCCCTTTCAGAAGTTCTTTCAGTCAAACGCAACTCTTGCGCTTCTAAACTGCTCTGCAGCTCTTCAATTCTCATGGTACTCAGATCTTTGGAATGTTCTATTGCTACCACAATGTAATCAAATTGAGAGGTAAGGGATCTCAATACCTTCTCCATGATTGTTTCTTCAGAAAGAGTTTCTCCACACGCCTTCATCTCATTAGTGATCAGAATCACTCTGGAGATGTATTCAGAAACTTTCTCATTATTCTTCATGTTGAGATTCTCATATTGCTTTCTCAAGGACTGAAGCTTCACCTTCTTCACTGATGCGTCACCACCATAACATCTAACCAGTGTGTCCCACGCAGCCTTTGCTGTCGTTGAATCTGCAATCTTCTCAAACACATTTACATCAACACATTGATGAATAAAGAATAATGCTTTCTGATCCTTCTTCCTTACTTCCTTCTGCGCGTTTTTCTGTTCATCTGTTGCATCTGCTGCTACCAGAACATAACCATCAGTGACAAGATCTAAAACATCTTGGGCACCAAACAGTACACGCATTTGGATCATCCAACGATTCCAGTTTTTACCGTCAAATACTAGAAGCTTGGTGTTCATGTTGCCGTTTTCGTTCATCTTCACCTTGCACAATACACTCAATGTTTCTCACACAGTGTTTCCCAACCCACAGAATTAAAATTCTGATCAGATTTTGTTCAAGATTCAACACGAATCTAAGAATCAAAATCAAACACACAAGACCTCACGTTCACTCGTGTTTCCCGTGTTTCCCAATGAATCTGAATCGGAGCTCTAGATACCAATTGTTGGTGTAAAGGTAGAATAAATGATGAAAGGTAGAAATATTCTATTAAGAATGACGGCAGAAAAACATGATTAAAAGTTACAATGATTGTCACCCTACTTATAAGCTAAAACTAGGGTTACTAGAATAAGATAAAATACTAAAATACCCTCTAACAAACTTAGGGATTAAGGAAAATAGTACAACTAAATAAATATGAATTACTATTAATATTCTAATAAATACATCTCAAAAAATGGATAGGTTTCTAATAGAATACATGTGATAATGACTAGTCATATGTTTCATTTGAACCATGCAAATGAAATGAGTTACCAAACTCCACACTCATCAAACAACACACTAATAATAATACCAAAAAAATGTAATTGCCATTTATAAGTGCTAGAATATGGAGTGTAATCCAAAAGCAATATATAAAAAAAACCAAGCAATATTTCTAAATTAGAGCTAATACAAAAATGAATATTCTGATAACATATTTTTGTTGTATAATTTTATCAACAATTCAACAGTCTCATTCTGCATCAATAGTTAGTATCCCATTATATCACAAAGGAATTCAGCATCCTCAGAAAGAAGCATCAACAGATATATACCCAATAGATAATGCATATGCAATATTCTTATGGATTGGTACTCCAGTACAAGTTGTACTTGTTATGGTAGACACAGGAAGCCCAATTTCATGGTCACAGTGTGATCCATGTAAAAGTTGTTACCCCATGCAACGTCCAGCGTATAATACTAGAGCATCTAGTACTTTTAGAGAAGTTGGTAGTTACTCAGATACATGTTTGATCCCAATGATGAGGGAAGTTTTTGGAAACAGCACTGGATGGACATGTAGATACAACGTGAAGTATGGTTATGGTTCTACTACGAGCCATGAATCTCATTCCTTTGGTCTAATGGTGACTGATACGCTTAACCTTCAACATTCCAGTACAGAGGTTAAGAATTTCATCATAGGTTGTGGAGATTCATATGAGGGTCCATATAGGACTCAATTCTCAGGTGTTTTGGGTTTAGGACGCGGTCCTCTTTCGATTCAGAGTCAACTCAAAGCCAAGGCGTTTTCTTTTTGTCTGGTGAGTCAAGGATCGGAGAACCCTTCATCTCTTGAGTTTTATGATACTCCACCGGAAATGGACCAACGTGGTTCCACTTCCATTATGGTTGCATTGACGGAGAACAGTGGATACCCTTTTCATTACTTTTTGCAATTTGTTGGTATAGGCGTTGATGGGTTTATGTTGGATATTCAATCTAGAGTTTGGGGTTATGGTTTGAACTATGATGGTGGGGTTATTATAGATATAGGAACAATGATAACTTATTTACCAAGTGAAGCTTATAGTGTGTTCAGATCAGAGATACTTCGAACCGATCACAATCGTACAGCGAGGTCGGGGTATGAGGGGTTAGAATTTTGTTACAAAGATGAATCATCTAATGTGTTTCCTACTATTGAGTTTCACTTTGAAAATGGAAATATTGCAGGTCAAAATTTTGTGTCTTACAAGTTGAACAACAAGCAGTTACTCTTCACACCAGAAGAAGGCACTGTTTGTCTATCATTTGCAGAAGGAAAGAGTTCTGCTCTCACAGTGATTGGTAGTAACCAACTCCAAGGAACTTTGTTGACGTATGATCTTGTCAATCAGGTCCTTGTTCTTACATTCGATAAGTGTTAAGAGATTAACAGAACTATTGCCTGTTTATTTGACAGTAATATGTCATCTTTATAGTATATTTAAATGCTGCAACACACCCTTAGAGTTTGTATGTTAAAAGAGTTATAATATGTTTGGTGATAGTTAAAAGAGTTATAATATGTTTGGTGATAGTAACTCAATAGTAACATTTGGTAGCACTTGTTTATTTTTTTTTAAAATTCATTAGTTTTTCTCTCTCTCTATTATAGGGAAATAGAAGAAAATGATAACTGGTCCAACGGGTTAAAACCATCAAAACTATAAGCTATTTTATAAATAAATAAAAAGAGGATTTTAAAGGAAGTTTTTGACATAGTATAAATCAATGGAAGATTTTATTAATTTTCACATACTCTTTTCTTCTTTTTTATTTTTTTTTCAAGTTCACTTACTTTGGTTTTCCTCTCTCTCTCTCTTTTCTATTTATTTGTAAAATTTCGTAGAGTTATTGAAAATATTTTAAAAATCGAACCGAATCGACCGATCAAATTAAAAATTAAAAAAATTATCAGTCTAATCTGATTGCTAGATTAGGTATGCTATTAAATAAGTGAAAACCAGCCAAAATTGGTGAACAAATATTTTAGAAAATCAACGGATTAAATACATTTTTTTCTTCAAACAAAATGATCTCGTTTTGATATTTTAAAAAATAAAATAAAATATAAATATAAATAAGCTTTGTTTAAAGCTTATTTGAAACAGTTTACACTCTTTTGCAATTAGACTTATTCAAAATTTATTTAGATTTGTATTTTATACTATTTTGTTATGTGTAATCATTACATTTAAAATTTATATTTAAAGAATAAATTTGTGAAATTATGATATTTTAAAATCTCGAAATTTTGTAGGGGTCGTGATATTTTGTAGAGACTGAGTCATCTGGTCGACCAATTTAATAAATATATAGTTTTGTTATTGAGACCGGTTTATTCAACCAAGTTATTTGGGTTAGTCATGTGGTTCGACCAGTAACCCAATGGTTTGACCAATAAACCAATGACTAGGGGTGGTAAAGTAGGCGACTCGTCTCGTTTAGACCCACCATGTTTAAACCCGTCCAACAGCGGGGCGGGGCAGAGCGGGTCAACTTAGGCGTTCGAGTTCAAAAGTCAAACTCGCCCAGTTTACTAACAAGTTGGCGGGTTGGTGGGTCGGCCCGCTAATTTTTTATTTTTTATTTTACAATTTGATTTACTAAATAATTTACAAAAAAAAATTATTACTAAAGAGGTCGACAAAAGATTTTTTTAACAACGCATAATAGAACTTCAATATATCTTAAGTCTAAACAGTTCAAAAAATAAAATAAATGAAGACTAATTACAACAACAAAAATGAAATAAATTCAACCACAATAAAAAACGTATCAAAATAAATAAATAAATAAATAAATAATGCATATCATCCTAATGCTATTTAAAAACTAACTACTAAAAAAATCCAATTAAGAATTATAAAAAATAAACAATGATAACAATTACACTGTATAAAATATCACAATGTATAAAATATCACATGTATACACTAATCAAATCTTTCATTTTCTTAAAATCAACATCTATTTCTAAAAAAAAATATGTGAGCTAATGTTTGACAACTTAATAATTCAGCATGACATACAACTGTTCTTTTATTTTAAGTTTTTTCAATCAACACATGTATTAAAAAGTTATAGAAAAAACATTACAATTATAATTCAATTTGTTTGTATAATAATTTATAATATAATTCAATCAACATAATCCTAAGAGAAGAGTGTTGTTTTTATAGTTAAAGTTGTTTAAATTCTAAGTAAAAAATAAAAAGTTTTACCAAAAAGCTCGTGGGCAAAACCCGCCCCGCCCTGGCTTGCCTGACTTTTCCAAGCGGGTTAGGCGAGGCACAACAACTTAAAGTATCGAGCCAAAAACCTCAGCCTAACCCGCCAAAAATGGCGGTTCAAATGGGCGGACCCGACGGACCCGACCCGTTTTGCCACCCCTACCAATGACCCACTACTTTAACTGGTTTTATGACCGATCCGGTTTTTAAAATATTGGTTTTTAAACTCAAACCATAGATCTATAAGTTTTATTTTTTTTAACTTTCATGGTTAGATATTTTCTTTTTTAGCCATAACAATATTGAGATTTATTCTAGCTTAACCAAAGGCTCTGAGTTCGGATTGAAAGTGAGAAAAACACAAGAAAGGGGTTGAATTATGTTCTCTTTTCTATAATTTCTTCTTCTTCTTCTTCTTATGATTGATCTTAATCAAATTCTGAATACTCAATTCAGAGTTTGAATCAGAGTCACTCCGAGTATGAACTCTTGAATATCCTTATCAGATTCTGAAACAAAATATGACTCGGAGGTAAACAAATGATAACAACGAAATATAGTTTAAAATGGGGGAAAGGAAAGCAATAGATACAAAAAGTTATCCTAGTTTCTCTCATATTCTGAGAATAGTCTAGTCCCCTTACACGTCCAAGGAATTACAAATGCTTAACCACCAATCAAAAGACTTCCAATCCTCAAATCTACAAGTAAGAGACTTCAATGCTCAACCACCAATCAAAAGACTTCCAATCCTCAAATATACAAGTAAGAGACTTCAATGCTCAAGCGCACAAGCAAGAGACTTTCAATGCTAAAACACTCAAGTAAGAGACTTTTATGCTCCACCACACAGACAAGAGACTTCAAATGCTCAAGCAATAAAGCAAGAGATTTTTGACTCTATAACAAATTGTTAAGAGATTTGGGTAACAACTAAAGTTGATATACAATCAGAGGTATAGATAAAATATAACTTATAAAGACTCTAAGACTTAAGAAATTCAAAAATATAGACAGTGTTAAGATGTTCTAAGTCTAGCTTGTTTTTGACAGAGTAACATCTCTTTGACATGTCAATGTTCAGAGTCTTGTATTGCAGTGTATTAGTCTTCTTCTTTTGGTACTCTGCTCCTTAAATAGAGAGGAAGAAAATAGACGTTGGAGACTTCACCAAAAGGTTGGGCTCGATTTGTACTTAACTATAGACATCACAAAAACCCCTTTCTACAAGAGGAATTATTTGTTGAAGCTCAGATGATAAAAAAGAGAGTTTTCCTTAAGTCTTCATGTGATCAAAAAGTATCTACATCTGTCAGAGTTTCCTTGATAGAAGAGAAGATGCTTCAGAGATTGACTTCACTCTTTAGAGGCTGATCACTTCATAGTTTTCTTTTTTACTTCTGAAGCTTCAGATTCTGGGTCACCAAGGACTAACTTTCTTCAAAGTTGACTTCTTTAAAGTATGGGTCTTCCATTAGAGCCAGATTCTTCAGAGCCAGATTCTTCAGAGCCAGAGTCCGAACTTTAGATCAGGATTCTCAAGCTTCTATTTGTTTGTTCTTAGTCTTATAAACTTGCATACTTGAACAGATGTTAGAATGCCCAATTGTTCTTTAAATACTTTGTTATCATCAAAACCCAAGGGATATGGTATCAACCATTTTTATTCCAACAATCTCCCAATTTTTTATGATGACAAAGATAAGTATTTAAGAACAATGGTTATTAGTTTAATTAACATCTTGACTTCAGGGTCTATGGTTTGTAAGCTCCCCATAAGTCTTATAGTTCAGAGGGTGAGGTTTTTAAGCTCCCCCTAAGTTTTATCTAGGTTAATTATATTCATTTAAAGCATAATATCATAATTCTTCATAAACAAGCAGCAATAATAATCATCAGATTCAGGTGCTTAATACTCTTTTGTCATTAACAAAAAGATAAAGTAAATAACAGATACTGAAGAAAAGCAAAGGTATAGGAAACAATCAGATCTTAGTAAAAACAGTTAATAATCATGTTTTATTCTTCCCTTGTCATCAGTTAAAAAAACGTGAAAGAAAATGTAATGACTTGAGTGGTTGGAAAAGGTTATGCAGTCCATGTGATATTCCATCCTATTTCTTGGCCTATGAAATATAGCAGTAAAACCTTGGAAAGGGATCTAAAAGACTAAGAATCTCTCTCTCTCTCTCTCTCTCTCTCTCTCTCTCTCTCTCTCTCTCTCTCTCTCTCTCTCTCTCTCTCTCTCTCTCTCTCTCTCTCTCTTGATTCCATTGGTACACATTAAACCAAACAGATTTGACATATTCCTATTTTCTCTATAAAAGTCATTTTATAGAAAGCAAACAATGCATTCTTCTTTCTTTCATTAAACGTCTCCCTTGATCAAAATGAGCAAATAAGCTAAGAACAATAAGGGTAGTTCCTTATAGGAAGTTAAGAAGGTTGTTCAGATTCATAATGATTACCAAATCAACACTTCCAAAGGAGATGTAACATTTGCTGGAGCATTCTGGGTTGGAAGAACATCAAAGACAAAGATGAAGAACTCTGGGGGAACCTCAAGAAAGAAATCATTGACATATCTAATGATGATGAATAGGATGAGGACTGGAGGAACTTCCTCGTGTCAAAAGGGTGGAGTGGTTGCAAATAGCCTCTTGTATTTCCATTTTGTAATCAGAGTCATGTAATCCTTTTCCATATAATAAAAGAAGATCTTTGTCTCATAGTTTTTGTTAAGAGATTTATGACTCTAAAATAAATTGTTAAGATATTTGGGTAACAACTACACTTGATATAAAATTAGAAGTATAGATAGAATACAACTTATAAAGACTTTAAGACTTAAGAACTTCTAAAATATAGACAGTGTTAAGATGTTCTAAGTCTAGCTTATTTTTGACAGAGTAACTTCTCTTTGAAATGTCAATGTTCAGAGTCTTGTATTGCAGTGTATTAGTCTTCTTCTTCAGGTCTTCTACTCCTTAAATAAAGTGGAATAAAATAGACATTGAAGACTTTCACCAAAAGGCTGGGCTAGATTTGTACTTGATTAGAGACATCAAGAAAACCCCTTTCTGCAAGAAGGTTTATCCATTGAAGTTCAAATAATAAAGAAGAGAGTTTTCCTTAAGTTTTCATGTGATCAA